AATTGTATAGTATTCTAAAATTCAGTCTTACATTTTTTACTTATGCAGTACTTAAAATGCTTTGTATTTAAAAGTTTACTTTAAATATGCCTTAAACAAGCTCTTACACCAGTTTGCATCATCTTTTCACAGAGGAAGTCAAGGAGGTACTACCCTACTAGGCTGGCCATAACTCTAGCTGCAGGAGTCACAGTAAACCCTGCCTCTGGATCTTCTGCACTCGGAGCCACACCAGGAACAGGAGACACAGGCTTCATCGTTGTAGAAACAAATTACCGTGTATATGCCTACACAAGTATGGCACACACATCATACACACTGACTTGTCTAAAGTGCAATACACTGAACAAGATCAGTCCTCCATCTCTCTCTGACAGACTCTGAACTCCAGATTGCACTAGTAGCTCTATTTAGCGAGATGCTGTATCGGTTTCCTAACCTGGTGGTTGCCCAGGTAACCAGAGAGTCGGTGCAGCAGGCCTAACGGCATAACTGCACAGCAGGTGAGAGACGCGCGGTCGCGGTAACCCAGTAACTGTTGCTCTGCAGATTGGTTTGGCCTTTTAATGATAGTGTTGTTTTGACATGCATTTTGTGATTTCAGATCATTCACTTCTTAAGGACCCGAGCTCACCCAGTAATGCTTAAACAGGTAATTGCTAACAGGTTTCATTTTTACCATTATGCTAATGAAAAGGGTTTAATTTAAATGTTGCATTAACTGAACAAACTTAGTATAGTTTAGGGCTGGGTGATTATAGCAAAGACATTATTACATTTATAGTAATTAATAATTATCATTTATAAAAATGACTAATTATTAAAAATGTTTTAATTAATGAAATGCAGTGCTTATAAGGATTTCTTTGTGTTAAAAATCCAGTTGATTAATTTAAAATCTCTTTTTCCACTGGCTTCTTGATTTGCAAAAAATAAGCTCTGTGACCAACAAAAGTTCATTATTCTTACACGTTTTTTTTTTCATTGTGGTAATCTTCAAATAAACAAGTTTTGTGATGTTTAAAGCCTTAGTACAATCGCCCGAAGTAAAAAGCTAAACATAGGCTATAAACAAACTGCACCACGGTCACGACTTCAATGTCACCACCATTAAAGGGAGAGTTCGCCCAGAAAGAAAAAACAATTCTGTCATTATTTACTCATCCTCCTCTGTTTCCAAACCGGAATGATTTTCTTTCAGCTGTTGAACACAAAAGAAGATACTTTGAAGAATGTTGGTATCCAGACAGTTGATGGAAGCCAGTGACTTGCATAGTATTTTTTTTACCATATTATGGAAGTCAATGGCTACCGTCAACTGTCTGGATACCAACATTCTTCAAAGTATCTTCTTTTGTGTTCAACAGCTGAAAGAAAATCTTACAGGTTTGGAACAACTTGAAGGTAATTAAATGACTACAGAATTTTTATTTTTGGGAGAACTCTTTAAGCCTCCGACAACTCTTTCAGTCTTTATTTAAAAACATTTTCCCTGAAAGTTTGAGTTCGAATAGCTTGAAAGAGTGTGATGATAAACACAATGAGGCTGTAAAGGTGACTAATGAGTAGATGCATTTACCTGTTCAGTGCAGGGGCGTAGCCACATCATTTCAGAAGTGAGGGGGACAGAAATGTAATGTAATATATACTGTATATAACCTACCAGTCAAAAGTTTTTAAACAGTAAGATTTTTTATGTTTTTAAAGAAGTTTCTTATGTTCACCAAGCCTGCATTTATTTGATCCAAATATACAGCAAAAGCAGTAATGTTGTGAAATATTTTTACTATTTAAAATAACTATTCTATAAATTACTATTCTATGTGAATGTATTTTAAAATGTAATTTATTCCTGTGATCAAAGCTGAATTTTCAGCATCATTACTCCAGTCTTCAGTGTCACATGATCCTTCAGAAATCATTCTAATATGCTGATTTACTGCTCAAGAAACCTTTTTTAATTATTATTATTATCAATATTTAAAACAGTTGAGTACATTTTTTTCAGGATTCTTTGATGAATAGAAAAATCCCAAGATCAGCATTTATCTTAAATAAAAAGCTTTTGTAACCTTATACACTATACTGTACCATTCAAAAGCTTGGAGTCAGTATAATTTTTAAAAAAATTTTGGAAAGGAAATTATAGAAATTAATACTTTAATTTAGCAAGGACGCTTTAAATTGATCAAAAGTGATGATAAAGACATTTATAATGTTACAAAAGATTTCTATTTCAGATAAATGCTGTTCTTCTGAACTTTCTATTCATCAAAGAAACCTGAAAAAAATCTACTCAGCTGTTTTCAACATCATAATAATATTTGTATTTATTTATTTATTTTTATCTTTTGAGCAGCAAATCAGAATATCAGAATGATTTCTGAAGGATCGTGTGACTGGAGTAATGATGCTAAAAATTGAGCTTTGAAATCACAGGAATAAATTACATTTTAAAATATTCTGTTTTTCTGTGAAAAGTAAACAACTGTTTTCATACAGCCATAGACCCTTTTGTCCATATTAGTGATTTCCTGGTACGACTTTCTGTGTGAAAGGGCCTCCGGCTTGGAGTATGAGTGAAACACACACTGCATGAGAGTGTTTAGCGCTCCGCGATGTTCATCTCGCTTTATTCTGGGTCCAAATAAAACATCAGATCATGCACAGACTATCCTGTCTCTTTGAATTTAAATCTATATTTATTCACACTGGCTCTTGAAAACCTCTATGCAAACTATGCGGGGGATGAATTTACGTGATATAAAAAGTGGGGGGGGGGACACGTCCCCCGCGTGATCTTCGCCCCTGGTTCAGTGTACTGTTTAATGTCCTCAGCAATCTTTGTAGTCCCATTTAGCCAATGGTTAGCAACCGCTTTTTTCAAGACAAGTAAAAGCTTTAAAACAAATCACAAAGGTGTTTTACTGTATTTTATGTGGTAGAGTAAAATGTGAAAATATCTTGAGTTTGTGTTCACCACAGACTTTATTTAAGGCATTTAACCAAAAACCCATTGACTACAGGATGATGGAACAGGAAATGCTAAAATGCTAACTGTCATCTTCCAGCTCTCTATAGTTTCCCCTTATAGGCTTAGATGTCCCTTAGGTGTCTCCCTTGTGCAATATGGTGAGGTTTATCATGAAAACTCTATACTGCTATGCAAATATTCACTGCTTGATGCATGAACATGTTCCCGCGTGTCATTCTGTCTTTCAGACCCCGGTCCTTCCCCCAACCATCACAGATCAGATCAGACTGTGGGAGCTCGAGAAAGATCGCTTACAGTTTACTGAGGGTGAGTCTGTCTTTGTGCTTATGAGACAAGTTCTGTAGTTCCCAAGCAAATTTACATTGTGTTTCCTTCAGATAACACTGGTAGGCTACATATTATATAATTATTTTTATACATTAGTCATTTCAGTTATTTAAATAATACATTGTTACCATTGTATTTACATGTAACCTTTGGGATGTGTCTCAATTTTATAAAAAAAAAGAAAAGAAATGACATCCTGATGATATTATGACATAAATAATTTGTTTCCATTGCATGGGTGACCTGCAGGGTTCATTCTCTCAAATGTAAATGTCAGACTGAATAAGATGTGTGTTAGAGAAATGTAATGCAAATAAAAAATTAGCATTGGAATCAGGTTTGGGGTAGGAATCCGTGTATCATTCGATCATTCATTTTTTTATTTAATATTGAAAGTAGAAAAATTAGAAAACGGCTCCTTTTTCGTTTTTTCGTTTTTTTCCAAAAAACGAAAAACAAGAATTCAGCTTAAATTTTCGTTTTTCGTTCAGGGGTAGAAAAATTAATAAACAGTTTGAATATTTGATTTCTACATGTGGGCGGGAATTAAACGCCCCTTTCTGCTGATTGGTCAGCCGGAGATCAAACCGTGCCTTCATCAGTTCTTCTGCAGTATCACGCAGCAGAATAATAGTCCTCCACTGCTGCTGCAGTTATACGGATTAATAACCCATTTTATTGCAACTACATTTCATATTTTTCTCATCAAACAAACAGGCTAATGAATAGCTCGACACAACTCATACCGGGGCAGAGTCTAGACAGGGCTTTCTTCTGTGTAGATATAAATTCTATTCTTTGCATTAGCTGGGCATGGCAGGGTATGATATGACAGCTGTCTTAGCCTACCTTGCTCACCCAGTAAGTCTGTTTGTTTAATTAATTAATTAATTAATTCGTTTCGAAATAAATATTTTAAACACTAAGACAAAAAGGAAAGAATAATAAATTGGCTTGGGT